CCCTGAAGTCCCCTCCGCAGCTCGAGCGTGAGATGGTCTCCTCTCCGGAGTGCAGCGAGATGCCGCTCGATCTCTCCTCCAAGTCCAATCGTCAGAAACTGCCTCCGCCCAGTCAGCGCAAGACACCTCCTATGCCCATCCTGACGCCCGTGCACACCAGCGGCAAGGCGCTTCTCACCACGGTCCTCTCCAAGTCCCAGCGCGCGGCCCAGGCTGCGGGCAGCAGCGTCACCTCGTGCCTCGGCACCACCCCTCCCTTGGTCATCTTCCCTGAGCCTCCAAGTCCAATCGTCAGAAACTGCCTCCGCCCAGTCAGCGCAAGACACCTCCTATGCCCATCCTGACGCCCGTGCACACCAGCGGCAAGGCGCTTCTCACCACGGTCCTCTCCAAGTCCCAGCGCGCGGCCCAGGCTGCGGGCAGCAGCGTCACCTCGTGCCTCGGCACCACCCCTCCCTTGGTCATCTTCCCTGAGTTCCTGCGCAACGGCGAGCAGGGCTCCTGGGTGAAGAACACCACGCTCATCAGCACCATTCCGGGCACCTACGTCGGCGTCGCCAACCCGGTGCCTGCCTCGCTGCTGCTCAGCAAGGACCCCGGAGTGAGCTTCAGCAGGGACCCGCGCCACCTTCCCAAGCAGGAGCCCATTTCCATCATCGATCAGGGGGACCCTCGCAGCGCCGGGGTTCCCTGTGGGAAGAAAGCCAGCCAGGTCAGCACAGAAGGACAGCAGGATCCTGCCAGGAGACTTCTTCATGGCAGAGTTGCTCCAGGAGCTCCTCTGTGTCAGTCCAAGGACATCTCCACCTGGAATCCCGGCCAGGGAAGCGTGTACCCACGATGCCCCGTGAATGGGAAACCTTCCAATCCTCAGCTTCTGCCTCTCGGCTGGTCTCCTTATCATCAGACCCCCCTGCTTTCCATTGGCATCTCCACGACGGGGCAGCTGCCCCCAAACCCCAGCAGCTCCTGCAAGCCAGCTGGTGCCGGCGAGCTCCCGACATTCCCGAGCGTGCAGCCCACAGAGTCCAGCGCAGCCGCCCAGAGCCTGCCGGAGGGGCTG